CCCCTTTCCCTTTAACTCCCCCCCTTTTGGCCCCACCCATTTTAGCCCCTCCCCTTTCCCTTTAAGCCCCACCCATTCCACCCTCACCTCTTTTAGTCACACCCATTCAAGCCCCTCCCCTTCCCCTTCAAACCCCACCCACTTTGGCCCCTCCCCCTTTAAGCTCTCCCCTAATCCCCACCCCTTTAAGCCCCTCCCCCTCAACCCTCACCCACTTTAGCTCCTCCCCTTTTCTCCCTTAACCCCTCCCTTTTAAGCCCCTCCCACAGGCCCCACCCCTTTAAGCCCCTCCCCTTCATCCCCCATTTTAGCTCCTCCCCTTTTCTCCCTGAACTCCTCCCCCTTTAAGCCCCTCCCACTCCCATTTAACCCTTTCCTGTAACCCCGCCCTCACTAGCCCTGCCCCGAGCACCCTCATTAGCATAATTAACGGGGCTCATTAGCATAATGACCTTGTCGGGGGCCGGCCCCTCCCTGTCGGGGGCGGGCGGGGGCGGGGCCGGCGCCGCCTTCGGCTCCTCGGCCAATTCCTCGAAGAACTGGGGGGAAATTGGGGAAATTTGGGGAATTTGGGGGGAAAGTGGGGATTTGGGGGGGCCGGCGCCGCCTTCGGCTCCTCGGCCAATTCCTCGAAGAACTGGGGGGAAATTGGGGGGATTTGGGGAAATTTGGGGAATTTGGGGAATTTGGGGGAAAAGTGGGGATTTGGGGGGAAATCTGGGAGTTTTGGGGGGAATTCTGAGCGAAAATTTGGGAATTTTGGGGAAAATTTGGGAATTTTGGGGAAAATTTGGGAATTTTGAGGGAAAATTTGGGAATTTTGGGAAAATCATTGGGAATTTTGGGGGAAATTTGGGAATGTTGAAGGAAAATTTGGGAATGTTGAGGGAAAATTTGGGAATTTTGGGGAAAGTTTGGGAATTTTGAGGGAAAATTTGGGAATTTTGGGGAAATCACTGGGAATTTTGGGGGAAATTGGGAATTTTGGGGGGAATTTTGGAGAGAAATCGGGGAATTTTGAGGGAAAATTCATGAATTTTGGGAAAAATGTGGGAATTTGGGGGGGAAAATTTGGGAATTCGGCAATTACGAGGAAAAAAATTGGGAATTTGGGGGGAAATTTGGGAATTTTGGGGGAAAATTGGGAATTTGGGGGTAAAGTTTTTTGGGGAAAATTGGGAATTTTGGGGAAAAAAATTGGGAATTTTGGGAAAAACACCCAAATTTAGGGGGAAAATTGGGAATTTCGGGTTAAATTCCCAGAATTTTTGGGAAATTAGGAAATAATTTTTAAAATTCAGGAATTTTGGGGAAAAATTGGGAATTTTGGGGTAAAATTTGGATCTGGGAATTTTGAGGGAAAAATGGGAATTTTGGGGGGAAAATTGGGAATTTTGGGGGAATTTGGGAATTTTGGGGGGAAACTGGGGAAAATCTGTGAATTCGGGAAAAAAAAATTGGGAATTTTGAAGGAAATTCAGAAATTTGGGGGGAAATTGAGGAATTTTGGAGTCAAATCCGGGAACTTGGGCTCCAGGAGTTTGGGAATTCGGGGAGGGGTCCCAGGGGTCAGAGGTCAGGGGAAATTTCATAAGGATCCTCATCTTCATCTTTAACATTTGGATTTTTATCTTAGAAGGTACTCTATTTTTAATTCCATAAATGAGTCCAAGACATAAAAGAAATAGAATTTTTATTTCATTTTGAATATGAAAGTTCAAAATTAAAATGGCCATTTTTTGCTGTAGGTTTCTGTTTCAAAAGAAAATATTTTTTGTTCTAGGTTTGAAAGTTTTTTTTCCTGAACTGGGTCCTATGTATTTTTCATTAAATCTTAACTTATTTACTCAGAGGGCAATGGCAACATGGCTGTTGTCCAGTCATGGATAAATAATGTTCAGGCAATCAAATGCCACAGAGATGCATCTGGTCTAAGAATATAACAGGAAGGCTGAGGAAAGAAAAGATCAGTATCCTCACAAGAAAGGGACTTAAATGGAGGAATTCCTAACCTAAACATGTGTGCATGACAGAAGTTTTCACCACAGGTAGGCAAATTTCTTGCAAAGCAATTTAGTTCACAACTCCAGAATTTTTAAGTGGGGTGTACATGTGAAAAAAAAAAATCTCAGAATCAAAGACTAAACCATTTTAGCTTTCTAATAGTTAATAGGAGCACTTCAGGCCATTTGGAAAAGAAATTCAAATGAAATAATTCTCTGTCTCGGCTTATGGGAGGGGACCTAGTATGTCAGTTGTAATCAGTCTGAAAAGCTCTCTTAACTTCATGGAGGCTTTGCTGAGCAGCTGTCTAGGAACAACAGTTTTCTGTCTCTGTTTTTGGACAAGTACATCGAGAAGTAAATCTGGGAATTTTGAGGAAAAAATGGGAATTTTGGGGGGAAAATTGGGAATTTTGGGGGAATTTGGGAATTTTGGGGGGAAACTGGGGAAAATCTGTGAATTCGGGAAAAAAAAATTGGGAATTTTGAAGGAAATTCAGAAATTTGGGGGGAAATTGAGGAATTTTGGAGTCAAATCCGGGAACTTGGGCTCCAGGAGTTTGGGAATTCGGGGAGGGGTCCCAGGGGTCAGAGGTCAGGGGTCACTCACGGATTTTTTGCCCTTCCGGTCCTTGCGGCCCTTCCGGAGCGGCTGGTCTGGGGGGAGGGGCGGTGAGGGGGGAGGGGAGACCAATTATCTCTAGGAAGTAACTTGTAAACCAGCTGCAAAAATGCAGTATCAGAGCACAGCATAAAAGATGTATCATTTGCAAAAAATGCTAAGATTTGTATCATGGGGAATAAACTTACCCTTTACCAGAAGGGTCTTGTGGGTGAAGAAAAGCAATATTTCACCCTCCAATCTGTTTGGAAAAAGGACCTGTGGGTCAAAAAAATTTGGCTTACAAGGCTGAGCTGAATGCAGGTTCCCAAGTTGCTCTGCTTAGGAACTGGTCAGCAGGATGAGATGACCAACCAAAGATGTCCTGAATTCAGGCATGTGTTTCACTTGCTTAAAAGATGGAACCTGTTTCCATTTCACATAAGGCCAATGAATCTCATCCATTTAGGTGAAAGCAGAGGTGTTTGGATCTCATCATGGTGTGCTAAATTCAAGCCAAGGAGAATCAGTGCTGTGACATTGCCTGATATTTCATGGAATGAACATTCAGTTATGTGTTTAGGAGATGAAATATGGGGAAGTTGTCAAAGCAACTTTAAAAGTGCTGAAAGGAATCCACACAATGGTGAAGTCTAAACCAGAGTTAATAATCTCCAATCCTACCTGCTCTAGTCCTTTCAAGTCTTGGGATGGCAATAGCCTGTGAAAGTGCTAAGAAGCTTCTGGTAAGAGCATCACAAGATTTTATTTTTCACTATAGTTCAAGAATCTTGTCACTCTTCACTTTGAATTGAGAGTAGTGCCATAAAATGTGAACTATTATATTTTAGTTTAAAAATATCTCACACAGCCAAGTAATACAGCATTCCTCTTTTTATTGTACAAGAGTAATGAGTTGTCAGCTTCCTCCCCACTCTTT